AAATACTTACAGTTTTTAAGTGTGTTCCTATGAAGATGAGATGCAGTTAAGTAAGTGAAAACATTTTATAAACTATTAATTTTATAAACTCTGCTGGATTGAGGCAGAGGCAGGATAACAAAGGCTTCAGAGTGTGAGGTTCCTGAGTCCTGAAGAACAGCTCCCAGCTCCACCACTTACCAACAGGGTGACACTCCATGAGTTACTTAACTTCTCTGAGCATCAGCATCTTCATGGGTGAAGTGAGGATAGGAATAGGACCCACCCAGGAAAGGTGTTGGGAAGATGAAATGAGGTGATGCGTGTGCAGTGCTCAGCACGGTGCCTGACACACACTGAAGTGCTCACTAACGTCAGTGGCTGCTGTCTGTGGTTTGTATCACTGTGATTGTTAAAGCCACCGGGGTGGGGACTTAGCATCACGTAGCAGCAGAAGTCTGGGCTTGAGCTCAGTGCACCTATGACTGACGCTATGTCTAGGGCAGCTACCATATACCCCAATTCTTACTTCTTTCACCTGCAGAGTGGGATGAGAGAGAATCCCTCTGTCCCAGGATTTTGGTGGGATCAGAATGAAGCAAAGGTCCCGGAAGCCCACTCAGTGGTAGATGTGCCAGCAGAGGTTCTAATCCAGGCACGGGAAGCCTGAGGCATGGAGGAACATGCTTGCTTGGAGGTACTGGATTACTGAGTGTTATCTGGTGAGAGAGGAGCAGGGCTGGGCTAAGCCAAAAAAAAAACAAAAAACAAAAAACCAAACTCACCGCCATTGAGTCAATTCTGACTCACAGCCACCCCCTTTGGGTTTCTGAGGCAGTAAATCTCTAGGGAAGTAGATTGCTCAGTCTTCCTTCCATGGAGTGGCTGGTAGATTTGAACTGCCAACCTTCTGGTTAGCAGTCAAATGCCTTAGGCACTATGCCACCACAACTCCTTTGCTAGCCCTCACAAAGTACAAAATGACAATTCTCTCTGGCTGCCCTGGTGTAGAGGCCGTTGTTCAAACACTCAAGCATGGCTCCCGCCTCAGGCTTTGACACTCGCTCTTCCTGCAGTTTTCCCTGGAGATACCACCAAGCTTCCCTGGGGGAGCCTGGAGATGAGGTGCCACCTCCAGAGCATTAGGGGGAGTGGAAGTCAGGGAGGTCCGCATGCAAAGCATCATTATGTAGTGGTTAAGTGCAAAGCCCCCTGGAGCCAGGCTGCCTGGGTTTAATCCCTGGCCTGAAATGTACTAGCTGTGTGATGTCAGGCAGTCTCTGTTTCTTAGTCCCTTCATCTGTGAAATGGGAATCAAAATGGGACCCGTCCCCAGGGGTTGTCATGTAGCTTGGCTTAAAGTAAGTTCACCCTTGGGACACTGCCTCATATACAGTAGGCATCATTATAAGTCTTTTAAAGTAAATTTAAATTATGCAAAATTAAAATACATGTGCTTAAAACCAAACCCATTGACACTGGGTACACATCTTTATGCAAGTAGACTGCCTCATCTTCCTCCTACACAGCAACTGGTGGGTTTGAACCACCGTCCTTCAGGTTAGCAGCCAAATGCCTTATCCATTATGGCACGAGAGCTCCTTGTGCTTAGGCCCCCGCCCCCCAAAAAAAAGTAAATGAAAGGAAAATAATTTAAATTGGAGCATTTCACCCAACTAGCACATGCCGCGGAGTGGAAATGACACTGCAGGTGTATCTGTTCTCTCTGCCAGCCTGCACTTGGTGCCCAACACAATGCAATGCAGGGAGTGCATCTCCCCAAGCCAAGGGAGGTACTAATATTTAAAGTTACATATTTCTTTCAAACAATATAGCTCCTACATACTTTCAGGGAGCTCTGATGGCATAGTGCCTAAGGCATTTGACTGCTAACCAGAAGGCTGATGGTTCAAACCCACCAGTGACTCCTCAGAAGGAAGGCTGGGCAATCTACTTCCATAGTGATACTGCCTGGGAAACCCAACGAGGGGTCGCTATGAGTCAGATTCGACTCCACGGCAGTGAGTTTGGTTTGGTTTGGAGATACCTTTAGGCCTTAATTCTCCAAATTTATATTAGAGATTTGATAACCAAGGTTTACCCCTTTCTTGGTCTTTGCCAAATTCCCATACGAAGTGAATTCCTGTTTACTTAATATTATTCTTTACCCTGACTCTCTTCTTTTACTAGGAAAAAAACCCAAATTATTTCAGAAGGAAACTTTAGGCACCTTCAGAGCATAACAGGGAACTGATTCATTATCTTGAAAACTGTCAAATAAAGGGGAAGAATCAAGCCTATATCCTGCCTTTCCTACATGAATTGTACCACCAGGTAACCAAGCAGCAGATGAGAGAAAGCATCTCTCTATAAAAGGATCCCAATGAAAAAGAAATGACAGAATTGGAATATACCATCTTGCAATCTCTAATGAACTAATGGATCAAAGCACTGAGTGGCTGTTGCTGCCAACATCAAAAAGGGAGGCAACTGGACTGATGTGCCCTTGGATGAAAGAACACACCATCACATATGGTCTTGCCAATGCCCTTGGATGAAGGAACACAACATCACATATGGTCTTGCCAAAGGGAGAACCTGAATCTGACTGAGCCTCCAGACCCAGCTGCCAACTCGGTGGAAACAGAAGGCAGAAGAACACGTTGAGTTGGTCCATGACGTGCAGACAACAAAAGCCAGACCGTGAGGCCCTGCATGTCCAACAGCCCAGGGTCTTCAACGGATGGGCCGTCAAAGAAAGGGGTAAGAAGGGGTCAAAAGGGGAATCAGCCAATTAAAAGACTGAAAAGATGTATCAAATTTTATTTTAAATGGACATGCTTAAGTGGGTAAATGATCATATCTAGGGACAGGAAAACTTAAGTGATAAAACTATGAAGACACATCAACAAGGGAAGGTGCCCTTTGCAAGATGGAAGGAAGCACTTGAGCTCAAGATGGAGCACATGGACAGGTTTCTAGTGCAGCTCTCAGAGTTCATGTCCTTGACCTCAGTGGTGGTGATGTGAGGAGCTCAACCTTGAAATAATCAAACAACCAAACCAAACTCACTGCCATCGAATCGATTCCAACTTATAGCAGCCCCTTACTTGGGTCCCAAGGCTGTAGATCTTTACAGAACCAGACTGCCTCATCTTTCTTCTGTAGAGCAGTTGATGGATTTGAACCACGGATGTTTTGGTTAGCAGCCAAATGCCTTACCACTACACCACTAAAAATCTCAGCACTAAAACATCTATGTGGTGTAGTTTCCACATATGTTTTTTAATATCTCAGTTAAAATTATATGAGACTTTATGTTGTTGTTGTTTGTTGTAGAGTAGGCTCTGACTCATGCCACCCTTAGGTACAACAGAATGAAACATTGTCCAGTGTTGTAGCACCTTCACAATCATTGGTGAGCCCATAAGTGCTATCATACATGGAAGAAATCTGTAAAAATATATAAAATAAAAGCAAAACAATGACCTAGAAATGACTGTTTGCCAATAGCTGAGAACTTAAAGCCTAGTACTCCCATCTTTGCAAGTGTTAGAAAGATGTTAAGGGCAACTGACAACAGAAGTCAATCAGAACTTAAAGGGAATGGGAAATAGAATGTGTTCTAAAATCCATACACCATCTAAATTACCTCTCAGGTTGCCCAAGGCCATTGTGCACAGCATGTGTGCTCCATTCCTTGGAAAACACTATTCCAGGTCTTGGTCCTGCCAGCAGTGGAGAGGAGGGAGAGGCATTGTAACTCCCTATTGCCCAGAGGGGAGCGCTGGTAGCATAGTGAAGGCACTTGACTGCTAACCAGAAGTCTGGCGGTTCAAGCCCACCAGCCACTCCTTGAAAGGAACACTGGGCAATCTACTTCCATAGAGATACTGCCTCGGAAACCCAAGGAGGGGTCGCTATGCATCGGAATCGACTCAACAGCAATGAGTTTGCTTTTGCTATTGGCCAGAAACTCCAACCAAAGGCTGGTAGGCCAACAGGGAATAGCACGTGTCTGTCTAAAATGCTCTCCCCTGCTAATCCCCCCAATAGCCTGTGGCAATGGTAGGATACAATCTGAGATGTGGAGGACCTAGTCCCAGAACAAAGGCCTCTTTTCCTCCCCAGTGCAGGCACTACCGTCATCATTGGGTGCACTCCTGGAACTGTTTGCCTGTTCATCTCTCCGGGCTCAGCTACCACACCCCCTAGTCCATTGTTCCGTAACTACCCACACATCTGTTTCCTCTACGTTAAGGCTATAAACTTCTTAAAGACAGAACCAAGCTTACTCAGCTCTGTACTCAGGCCTTGGACCAAGGCCAAGGTTAAACGGTGATAAAGTGAATAACATCTATTGCACATGAAGTCACTTTGATCAGAGTCAACTGAACAGCACAAGATTACTGGGCGTGGATAAGGTGCTTTTCCTCCCCACAACAACCTGGAAAGCAGCAACTATAAGCTCATCCATTTTACAGATGAAGAAACTGAGACCCAGAGAAATTTTGAGCCCCTCCCCTACCCTAGAAGTCAGTCCCCTGAGAGCTGTGTTCACAGACAGTGCACCTCCAAGGAGTCCCACCCCACGGCCTCAGGCAACCTGCAGTGATGTACTTACTACTGAGTTTATTTGAAGGGTCTGGAGGGCTGACTGTGACTACCGGAAGGTACAATCTTCCCACTCAGTCCATTCTGCCGCCACATCTCATATTGTGAGACCAAAAGCCCTGAGTTCCTGTCTCCAAGTCATCCCTTGGTGTCAGAGAAAAGCCCTGCTCTGTTCGTTATAAAACTGATCAGGAGTTCCTTCACCTGAGCTGAGAAAGTATCTGCCCTGGGGGAGCACCTCACTGGCACCTCAGAAACGCTCTGCAGACTTGCCCAGTTCCAACGTCTCTCTGTCTCTAGAATGGGGTGGGTCCAGACGGCTCTTTGGGATGGGTGCTGCTGAGGGAGTTCTGCCAGAGCCCGGGGAAGCCCCGTAGATGGACCGCCGGGGACAGCAGACACCTTACCATGGTCTGGAAGCAGGAGTGGAGCTGGGTCAGGAATGGGGGCTTCCCGGGCAGGGCCAGAACCCGCTTCTCCACCATCGTGCACTCCACGTCGTCGTCCTGGATCACCACGTCTTTCTTTAGGATCTTCACAGCGTACAGCTCGTCTGTGCCTTTTCGCTCTGAGAGCATGACCTGGGAGAGACAGCAAGCAGGTCAGGGCAGTAGGTGGGGTCTGAGCGACAGGCAAGCGTGGTGCAAACAATTCATGCCCAACCACTAACCCCGAGGTTGGCAGTATGAACCCAGCCAGCAGCACTGCAGAAGTGAGGTCTGGCAACCTATGTTCACAACAATTATAGTCAAGAAAACTCTCCAGAGCAGTCCCACTCTCTCACACACGGTGATCGTGAGTAGGAAGTGACGCAACACTAAGGAATTTTGTTTTTTTGTTGGGGAGGGACAGTGACGAGCTGCTGATAGTTATTCAAATCCACCCCAAGCTTTGTCCAGGTCCCGTGGTCTACTCTAAAGCAAAGTATGAGGTTTTGCAATTCTAACAATCAAAGCACTGATCCCTGTGGGATACGGATTCATTCCTAACCAATGTAAGTAGAGGGTAAGCCCCATGACCACCACCCATCTGTCAGTGTGTCATACTGTGACGGTTCACATGCTACTATGACGCTGGAAGCTATGCCCCCAGTATTTCAAATACCAGCAGGGTCACCCAGGGAGGACAGGCTTCGGAGGAGCTCCCAGACTAAGACTAAGAAGGAAGACCTGGAGATCTCTTCGGAAAATTTGCCGACCAAAACCCTACGGGTCGCCAGAGGATACTGTCTGGTCGAGTGCTGGCAGATGCGTACCCTCGGTTGGAAGGCAGCAGTGGACCAGGCAGAGCAGCAGTCGTGAGGATGGTGTAGGACCTGGCAGTGATTTCGGTCTGTTGGACATGGAGTTGCAATGAGTTGGAGCCAGCTCGACAGCCACTGACAAAAACAAGCCCCGTGCAGACAAGTGCTTTTGCCTGTTTTGTTCACGGGTGTAACTCAAGAGCCTAGAGTAGTACCTGGCACATAGTAGATGCTCAATAAATATTTGTTGAAAGAGGGAATGAAGGAATGCCCGATAAAATGGAATTCTGGGCACTTGTTAATTATTCATTTGAATCTTGAACTAATATTAAGAGACTGCTAAAAGCACTAGGGAAGGAGCCCTGGTGGCACAATGGTTAAAATGCTCAGCTGCCAACCCAAAGGTTGGCGATTCAAACTCAATAGCCACTCTGCAGGAGAAAGACACGGCTGTCTGCTTCCATAAAGATTATATTCTTAGAAACACTATGGGGCAGTTCTACTCTGTCCCATAGGGTCACTATGAGTTGGAATTGACTCCACGGCAATGGGTACAGGTAAGCCCTAGGGCTACAGCAATAAACAAGCAGGCCTGTTCGCTGATCCTGTACTCCAGAGAAGAAGCAGGACTTCAGATGATTGATTATGGGGTGGGGTATTTTAGCCCCCTCTCCTGTTGCCTGAGGAGCGCTGGTAGCACAGTGCCTAAGGCATGTGACTGCTAACCAGAAGGCTGGAGGTTCAAACCCACCAGCCACTCCTTGGAAGGAAGGTTGGGCAATCTACTTCCGTAGTAATACTGCCTCGGAAACCCAAGGAGGGGTCGCTATGAGTCGGGGCCGACTCGACGGCACATAACAACAACAACAACAACCTGTTGCCTGGTGCTTCCTTCTCTGTAGCTATGGTCACAATCAGGCAAGGTCACCAGTGTGGTTCAGGACACATCATTATGTCCCTGGTTGTGGCTCTGCCAGAGGGGACAATGAGCAGCAGGTACTGTTCCAAGAAGCCTCTGAGGATGCACAGGACAGGACCACGTTACAGGAAGGACTAACCCAACCCGGGCCTTTCGGGAAGGCTTCCCAGATGAAGACACAATTGGCCTGGAGTATTACTGCATGCACTGTCTTTCAGCCAAGAGCTCAAGCACCTCTATACGTTAGTGGTCTGCACTCATCCATCTTCCTTTGCTCCTCGTGGGTGTCACTGAGTGCTGCAAACAGTTCACAAGCTCGGCTGCCAACTCAAAGATTTCCAACTGAAAAGTCTTTCTCCTTCCCAAAACTCAGCCATTAAAAACCCGACGGAGTACAGTTTTTCTCTGACACACATGGGGTTGGCATGAGTCGACTCAACGACATCTGGTTGGTTTGTTACTTTACATAAGACCAGGAAGGAGGTCCTGTTACAAAGCCCTCTCGGCAGGAATCAGAGGCTCAGGGAGAGCAGTAAGCTGTCTCATCACAAATTCAGGACATGAAGTGTGATCTACCTGCCTCCAAAGTCCCTGTCTTTATTTTACTTCATTTTTTTAAAATACTATTATGTTGTGGTTTTGGTGAAATTTTGCACAGTAAGTTAGGGTTCAATTTGAAAATTTCTATGCAAATTGTTCAGTGATGTTACATTTTTCACAACGCGTCAGTGTTCTCTTCAGTTGCATTCTGGTTGTTCTGTTCCCAGTGCTCTAGTTTCCCAGCCCCTTCTCATTTCTGCTTCAGAGTCATTGCTGACCTTTGGTCTCATACAGATTGTTTTTTAGTGGAGCACTGTACCCACGGGTAGCACCCTCTATTTTGTGTGCCAATGTGTTACTTCACTAAAAGGTAACTTCAGGGGATAATTTCAGTTCAAGGTTTATGCAGTATCTCAGGGTGACAGTTTCAGGGAATCCTCTAATCTCAACTGGTCTAGTAAGTCAGGACTTTTTAACAATCTGAGTTCTGTCCTATGTTTTTCTCCCATTCCCTTGGGAGCTCTGGTAGCATAGTGGCTAAGGCACTTGACTGCTAACCAGAAGGCTGGCGGTTCAAATCCACCAGCCACTCCCCGGAAGGAAGATGGGGCAATCTACTTCCATAGTGATACTGCCTTGGAAACCCAAGAAGGGGTCGCTATGAGTCGGGTTCGACTCGACGGCACATAACAACAACATCAGGGTCTATCTACTGTGGTCCTGATCAAAGTCCCTGCCTTCAGACAGCCCACTTGACCAGAGCTTCCGAAGCACCTCTGAAGGAGCTTAGGAGACTGAAGAAATAAAGTCCTGCCCCTGACTCAGCTGGAGGACCAGTGAATACAGCAAAGCCCTGGGGCCAGACGACAGGTACACAGAGCCCGCAGAGGCAGCAGGGCAACTGGGAAGGCTCCGCTCAGCTCCTGGCCTGATGGGAAGTGGTGTGTCTGGACTCACGACATGGAGTTTCCACGCTGAGCTCCCTGGCTCCCACAGAGGCTCCGGCTCCTACTGTCACCATCTTCTCTCTCATCACAGCCCATGGTGATGCAGACCCCGGGATTTTGAGCATTTTAGAAAGAAAGTTCCAGCCACATATTTCCATAGGAACAGGATTTGCCTCAACCTCTCTCTTCCCCAGTCACCAAATAAAAATAATAGTAATTGCTCAGCTGAACGAGGTCCTTAATTTTCACCACAGCCCCTGTGCCTACATGATGGGTAGGGTTCCAAAGTTAGAATGTGTGTCTTCAGCTCATCTCTCTGCTCTCTCACTGGTACCCAAGGACCATTCCTCCCTTCCCCAGCACTCACCAGAAAGAAACTCTGGTGGACTAGTGGCTAAGGCATTTGGCTCCTAACCAGAAAGTCAGCGGTTCAAATCCAACAGCCACTCTGCAGAAGGAAGATGGGGCAATCTACTTCTGTAAAGATTTACAGCCTTAGAAACCCAATGAGGGCTGCTAGGAGTCGGAATCAACTTGACGGCAGTAGGTTTGGGCTTTTGGTCCAGTCCTCACCAAAGCAGAAACAAGGACTCAAGGAAGCCACTGTCTTAAGATGAAGAAAGTTAGATGGAGATGGAGCTTGCCTGCCCTCAGATTCCAGAGAAAGCTGGTTCTCTCTTTTTGCCTTTGGACGGTCTATTCCCACAGCCATAATGTTCTTCCACACTCTTCACTGCCCATAAGACCTGACATCCAGCTCAGATGTCACCTTCTTCCTGTACACCTCACTGAACCTACTTAGACCCTAATCAGTCACTCCTTCCTCTGGGTTCCATATCTGCTAGGCATATATGTCACTCACTTTATTTCAGGTTTCCCCAAACTTTCATGATTCACATGTCTTTTCAAACATTTGTTTCCTACCACCTAAATTGTTATTTGCTTAGTATTTTAAAAGTCTAGTCACGTTTTGACTTAACTGAATTTATTTGGAAAGGAAACTCTCTTACACCATTATAAATGGCAAACCAGTATCTCTAGCCATAAATGGAAGATAAGCACAAAAATAAATGAAAGCAAAGCAGCATTAGGAAATGCTAGCTCAATACTGTTGCCTGTTAAAGGCTCGGAGCCAGGCCTTGCATTTCTTTCCTCGATATTACTAAATGTTAGATGTTAAGGACATATTGTTGTTGTTAGGTGCTATGGATTTTTGAGCAATCCAGGGTGACAGAGTAGAACTGCCTCAGAGAGTTTTCTAGGCTATAATATTTAAAGCCACCACCGATCTGTCAGTTTGTCACACTGTGGCGGCTTGCATGTTGCTCTGATGCTGGAAGCTATGCCCTGGGGTGACCAGCAGGGTCACCCAAGGTGGGCAAGTATTACAGGTTGGCTCGTGTCTCCCAAAACTGTTGTTGTTTTGTGTGCCATCAAGTTGGACCTGACTCATCGTGACCCCTCCTTGGGTTTCTGAGGTAGTATCACTACGGAAGTAGATTGCCCAACCTTCCTTCCGAGGAGCGGCTGGTGGGTTTGATCCATCAATCTTCTGGTTAGCAGTCAAGTGCCTTGGGCACTACGCTACCAGAGCTCCTGTGTCCTCCAAAATGAGGTGCTGTAAATCCTAACTTCTATGCCTGTGGTTAAAATCCCATTTGGGAATGGGTTGTCTTTGTTGTTAACTAGGCAGGATTAGTATAGAATGTGTTTTGAGTTCATCTCTTTTGAGATACACCAAAAAAAAAAAAACCAGACAAACCCCAAACTCTCTGCCATTGAGTCGATTCCGACTCACAGTGACCCCCGTTGGGTTTCTGAGGCTGTAAATCTTTATGGAAGTAGATTGCACCATCTTCCTTCCACAGATTGGCTGGTGGGCTTGGACCACTGTCTTTCTGGTTAGCAGCCAATTGTCTTACCCACTTTGCC